TTTGCTTATTTTTCAGAGGGTGGGGAAATTTATGAACAAGCTATTGATTCTATGAGAAAGAAATTTAAAAAATATTGTTTCCCTATTCCCCCTATTTATGGTGTTGCTGCCTTGTTAAATCCTACTATGAAATTAGGAGGTACTCAATATTGGTATCAATCTATTTATAATGGTTTAGCACTTGAAGATGAGGAGTTGTCTAGACTTTCGGACGCACAAGCCTCAATTAAAATAAATGCTCAAACTATTTATAGTGCTTATCAAATTGCAATAGATAATGCTACACCAAATGTTCCAACTCCTTCTTCTTCTAGTTCTCAATCATCTAAAAGAACTGCGGGAGTAAGAGCACTTACTGCTTGGGCCGGGTTCAGGGGGTCTCAAGGTTCTAGTACTAGTGATTGTTCACAACTAAATGAGCTTGAAGTTTATTTGTCACAGGGAATTGAGGAAGTGAATCCCGACGGCTCCTTTAATATTTTGGAATGGTGGAAGGACAAAGAAAAACACTTTCCGATTCTTTCAAGGATGGCTCGAGACATTTTAACCATTCAAGCTTCAACAGTGGCATCGGAGAGCGCTTTCAATCAAGCAAGACTTCAACTCGGTGATTATAGAGCGTCTATGAGGGAGAGCTTGGAAAAATCAGTACTTTTCAGAGATTGGATCCGTTCGGAATGAAGAAATTTTGGACTTGCTGAATCACAACCAGAGGCAGACGAAGCTTACGAAGAAATGCTAGCTGAACTTGCGGAGGATGCAGCTTCGCCCGGAAGCGGTGATGAACAAGCTTCTTTCCGCCACCACCAACGGAAGTTCCTCCGAACCTTGAAGGATTTATGAAATTTGTAAGAGATACCATGTAAAATTAATATGTAACTAGTATTTTGGCACATCTTGATTAGTTTCTTTTTCTTCTCAATGGTGGTATTAACACCTTGTTGTGCTCATTCCATTGGGGGGAGGAAGACAAAGAAAGATATTGTCATGTTTTGTTAATGTCATAATAATAAAAATTATAACGCATTCCTTTGAATATCTCTTTACAATATTTTGTGTTTTAAATCTGAATTAAAAAATTTAAGTCACAATTATATAATATAATTTACAAGAAATTACCTTAGATAAAAAAAAATTAAAAAAAATAGGCCAGACCCACTTAGGCCCAAATATATATATAAGCTATGTATATATATAAGCTATATAATTTACAAGAAATTGCCTTAGATAAAAAAATTTTTAAAAAAATAGGCCAGACCCACTTAGGCCCGGGACCGGCCCACTAAGCCCAGGACCATTAGTTAGTGGTCCCGGTCCTGGGCCAGTTACTACAAAAAACCCGCGAAGCCCGGGCCCACTTAGGACCGACCCACTTAGGACCGGCCACGAAGCCCGTTTAGGCCCGGGCCCAGCCCACATTACACCCTTAGCTATAACAAATTTATGTTATTTTTTTATAAGCATATTATATCGTCACATTTGGAGCATATTTTAACTGGTTTAGGTTCAGTCAGTCAGATACATGCACTATTGTTGCTTCTACAAGCATGTCATATTCAAATTATTTTATTAAGGTGCTAAAGCCGAGAAGAGTCTAATGTGTTTTTTATGATAGATTCGAGGAACCACATCATTCAGTGGTTAATTACAATAACCAATGATTTTCCACTATAGTTGGAGTATACAACAACAACAACAACCCAGTAAAATCCCACTGGGGAGGGTAGAGTGTACGCATACCTTACCCCTACCCCGGAGGGATAGAGAGACTATTTTCAAAAAACCCTCGGCTCAAGAAGAAAAATTAAACAATAGGCAATAGATCAGTGACAGAAATTAAACAATGGAGTATAGTAGTTCTAAAATCATGAAATAGCTATTTGCCTCATTCTTGCTATTGTTCAATGCATAAAAGATCTAGCTACTTATATACACTATCTTATGATGATTGAATTGTGAGTTGATTTCCATGATTCCTTCCTTTTTTTTAAAGCCTCCGTGGTGATTTATTCAGCCTTGGCTATAGAGTTATTTACAAGGAAATTCTATGTGTCAGCTCTAGAATTTCTTCTTTCTCATTCTTTCAACCTGTACGTACTATTTATGCAACAACATTCACTGCATTAGTATTATCTGCTAATTCGTCCGACTTTTGGTTCTTTCCTTCCTTTATGGTGCACCTCTTAGAGTACTCAACCTTCTTTTTATGCTATTACTGATTAAAATGAACTATTTACAGCCTATAAACAACCACTTACTCTCCTCGATTTTGTTACTTCTCCCTCAACTGCATTCTCCTCTCAAGCCATGAAATTCCATCAAGATTTCTACCAATCGAGCCACAAATAATCCTCAGGCGAGCCCTTTGAGATATAGATCTTTACTTCCAATTTCAGGCCATGGAATCCCTTCGTAGTTCTAAGACAACCATTAAAGGTTTGCAAAGAGGGTAAAAGGACAGCCCGGAGCAAAAAGCATCCAGCGTTCACGCATAGCCTGCAGAAGGGTCGTACATCAAGGGGTGTGATGCAGATAGCCTACCCTAATACAAGCATTAGTGGCTGCTTCTACGGCTCGAACCCATGATCTATAGGTCACACGGAGACCAGTGTTACCAAAAACGAAAAGCGCAAAAAACTCTAAGGCATTGTTGGGGCTTTAAGCGCAAAGCGCAAATAAAGCGTGGGCTTTAATTAAAAAAGGCGCAACGGGAGAAAAAGTAAAAATATGTATATGTAGTCCAAGACCAATAATTATAAGCATGAATAACAAATATATGGACAAAAAAATTAAAAAAAAAATTACGATAAAATGAAATATCAATCGTCCAGTGTCGCCTTTTCAGGATTATATTCATTGGCAAGGAAAAGTATGCCTTAGAGCCTTGATGTGACACTGAAGCGCCCGCAAAGCGAGGCAAAGCGCTCAATATATTTTGAGCCTCGCTTTAGGGCTTAAGTGCGCTTTAAGCGCGCTTTTGACAACACTGACGGAGACAACTTTACCGTTGTTCCAAGGCTCCCCTTCAATGGTTGCAAAGAGGGTCCAAGACCCATTATTTTCATTGGAGCTGTCAAAAAGCAACAAGCGTACAAAAGCACTTACTTTATTGAAGAGAGGCATGGATGAAGAGCAGAATAATATATGTAGTGCAAGTAAAAAAAGTAATAAACAAAAACAACAATTACATAAACAACTGAATTGAAAGAGTTGCAATTAAGTTAAATAAGTAATTTGTTGTGAAAGATGTGTTTATATATCTATTCCTAATAAACATGTTCGTAGATATTATTTTCTTAGCAGGTGCTGCATCTGTCGTATGCTATACGAGTATTTGACTGGACATAGAGTTTAAAATGATAATTTGATTTATCTACTATACAGCTGATAACATAAAAAGATATTCTCAAATAATGACTGAAAACTAGTTTGATAGAGAACGCATCACATCAAAGTTAAAAAATTCCACTTGTTTAGTGTATTTAAATTCTTGAAAGACATGAAAATTGCATAAAGAATGACCAGTTTCCAAACATATTGGGACACCCCGAAATTGATAGAGTGAGATATAAATTAGTATTGATTGACTAATATACTGCTTAGCCAAGTATATTTATTTCTTGGTATGACCTTTTTCAAGAAGCGCCAGTGGGTGCTGAGGCATTGAACAGCCGCTTATGTAAGGTGAAGCACCCAACATGCCTAGACCTAGGTTCAGAGCTGAAGCATGCCTCAAGCCAACTTTTTAACAATGTTCTCATTCTTTTTATAACAAATTTTTTAACATTGTTCTCATTATCATTATTTGTGGGTAAATCAGGCATGTCACTTATGACACGTTGGGTGTCTTTGATAACATTTAGAGGAACTAAGTTCTGAAAAAAAATATTGCAAAAGTAATGTCGATTCACAGTATCAGCATGTGATTTGGGCTAGTAATCTGCTCTTTTCTTCTTAACTATCTCTCGGGAAAATTTCTGAAAATAGAAAAATCAGAGAATTTCTTGCTAGATGTAAAGTGCAACACCAATTAAATGGAGGCATCCTTGTCAATCATTCGCACTCAGCTTCTCACTGACTAAAAAACCTAGCATCCATCTAGATGAGACTAATAACATTAGTAACAACATTTGGAATAAGAAACGGGGAACAGAAGACAGAGCTGATATATCAAACTAATATTCAAGAATAATGTGAGAGGTCATCCCTCAAAAGGGTGAGCTAAGCAAAACTATTTAGAACTTTTTAAACGATTTGAATGAGGTAATTGGCTATGGATGTATGTAAATGCAGAAGGCAAACTTTCTTTTTCATAACAGTAGTGCTCGGGCCTGTTTCTAATACTTCTAACACTTTTTATTTGTATATGCATAATATTAGCATGAGATGAGCTTGAATGAAGTAATGTGGTCAATGAGGATCATATAGCCAACCATAACTTGTTTGGGAGAGGCTTAGTTATTGTTATTGTTGCAATGTTCGGGCCAACTTGGGCACACCTCAAAACTCAATCAAGAAGGCAAACTTGATTGGAACTAAACAAAGCTTGATTCCACAGGAATTTGCTTATATAATAAATAATCTTATAATATAACCGTACTTAAACATACAATTGACCAGCTTAACTTCTGAAGCTAAATTCAGGTTAAAAAAAGAAAAGAAAATTACAATAAATATTATTCCTAAAAATTAGCCAGAAAATACCTGCTGAGGATTGGGACTATCACGAAGCACTTCAAGACTGGAAACCCTAGTCTCCAAGACGCTACATTTCTCCTTCAACTGTACTCCAAAACAAAAAAAAATCAACATTTCTTTTCCCCAAAAAAAAATTAATAATAATAATAATGGTTTTTGGTCAGAGAAATTACTTGGGAAGAAAGAGAGAATCGATCAGCCCATAGATCTTTGAATATGAAGTGAGTCACTGTAGCTGAAACGGAAGTGAGACCTATTGTGAACCATAGCAACCTCGTTCGCATCATCTTCTCCTTCCTCTTTTCTTTGATTCTCTAAAACTGCGAGAAAATNAAAAAAGAGTCAAAGAGTGTAGGAGCTTTCATGGATTTTCATACTTTGACACCTTAAATAACTTTTTTGTTTTCTTGAGCACCTTAAAGTTTATAAAACATAGAAATGAACCATTTCAGGTAGTAGCTTTGATTAGAATAGTTGGAAAAGGCGAGGAAAATAAAGATCAAAATTGTCCTCAATGTATGGGGTAGAACTATTTTGGTTCTTAATACGTATGCTTAATACAACTAAGACTTTTATTAGGCTGAATTAGCGGCCAACAAGTTTATAATAAAACTAGAAGCATACTGTTGAATTTGGCAAAGTCCCACATCGGTGGGTTAGCCATTTGGTTGGGAAATTTTCTCTATAAAAGAAGGCTTAATGTTTAGGATTTAAATACACCTCTCATTTGCCTTCTCATCTGT